CGTATTGGAAACCTTTTTGTAATAACTTAATGAAATTGGGTTGTTTTTGAAAATTCTAAATTGGTTGAAATTTTTGGATGTTACAAGTTGGTATCAGAGCCTTGGTTTGAGTGAATTGGAGGAGCATTCGTGTGAATCCAGTCTCAAATCAAGGAGGGTTTTCAAAGAGAAATTAAAAATGGTTTTCAAAAATAAGTAAAAAAGGACGCGGAGTGTACGATTAGCTGGAGCCAGTAAGTTACCCCAAAATTACCATGCAAGTTATTTGTTTATGTGATATGTTTAACAACATGCTAGAGTTAGGTTAGGGATCTTCAGGAAGTGCACGATAGATTTTCCTGATTGTGATGCCTGCTAGCCTAGGGTCTCCTTTTATGAGAGTTTCAGTGTTCCTCTAGGAGTGAGGATAGAGTGCTTGCCATGTTCGTTAGTGCTTGGGGCGTTGTGATGATACTTGAGACAAATATGGGTAGGTGTGGAAGGTAGTATGGGCTCGTACTACTAAAAGCACAGGACCCATACGCGTTTCAAGGAAGTCACAAACCCTGGGCGATTGATTAGAGAGTCTTTCTAGGTGGTTATGCGGGGTTTCTGAGGATCTCATGGTGTATTGCAAAATGGCGATTACGAGATGTTTCGAGGCAGGATCCGGTTCGGGATCAGGAGCGGGAGAGGGCGGTCAGGAGGGGTCAGCACCACCCGAGGTCGTTGGCCAGATGAGTACGAACGAGTTGGATGCCAAGATTCGGGAGATCCTGCATGATGAGGTTGCTGCTATGTTCCGGGCTGAGTTCCCGAACTATTTGGGTCGATCAAGACCGCCATGATTGAGTACTTTGATGAGCGCTATGTAGCTCTTACGGAGATGGCTGCCGCGGCGGCTACAGCGGTTGTAGCCGTGGCAAGAGGAGGAGCCGGTAGAGGTTTTCAGTATCGGGATTTTGATAATACAAAGCCCCCTACTTTTGATGGAGTTCAAAATCTGATTGTTTCTATGAGATGGTTGTTAGACGTGGAGGGATGTTTCTTCACATGTTCATGCCCTGCTGATTAGAGGGTGAGGTGTGCTTTGAACCTGTTGAGGCTCAGGGCGAAGGATTGGTGGAGGTTGACTACAGGGTCATATTCGAATACGCAGCGGGTTGCGGTTTCTTGGGATCAGTTTCGGGAGATGTTTAGCACTCGTTATGTTCCCCGGGGTGAGAGAGAGAGGTTGGCCCAGGAGTTCCTAGAGCTGAAGCAAGATTCAAAGTTGGTGACGAAGATCACCAGGATGTTCACTGAGAGGGTGATGTTTTTTCTGGAGTTTGCTTCGGAGCAGGCTCAAATGTCCCGATATCTGAGTATGCTCAAGAGGGACATCAGGCAGTTTGTGTCTACACAGAGATGTGATACCTTGTTAGAGTTGCAGGAGGCCACCAGGTAGTGTGAGTTGGAAATCGAGTTGCAGATGAGAGAGTAGAGGCAGGCCCCGGTGCAATCGCAGCCAGCACCGAAACGGTCCAAGACCGTTGATTCTAGGTTGGGAGATCAGAGCAGCCGCACTTATGGAAGGTGCGGGAAGGGTCACACCGGAGTTTGTAGGTCCGGTGGTGCATGCCGCAAGTAAAGGAGGGAGGGGCATTACACGAGGGATTGCCATCAGACAGCCCCAGTCCAGGATATGAGGATCTGTTATCAGTGTCATCAGGTTGGTCACATGAGGGCCAACTGTCCACACCTTACTGCTGGACCGGTGCATGCTCTAGCACCAACCACTTTGAGGATTACGGGTGGAGGTCAGGGTGGAGCAGAGCCCCTGAGGGCTCAGGGACATGCTTTTCAGCTTACATCAGAGGAGGTCAGGGCAGAGCCGGATACAACTGCGGGTATGTTTCCTTCTTGATATCTTGTTATCTTATGGTTGTTATGGAGTATTTTATATCTGCTAGTCTCGTTTGCATGATTCATGGTATGGTATTCGTTCATCTTTTCGTCGAGTTTTATCATGTGATCGAGGGTTTTGGTGTTGGGAGTCTTAGTTGGTTATCATCATTGGGGATTGATGGTGGGGAATTAGGATTTTTGGTCCCAGTGTCGTGTATGACATTTGCAAGTTGAGGAATACTCAGCTGGGGGTCGAACTCCGTTAGAGTTCGAGATGTGCGGTGTCGGAAGGTGATTTTGTGGAGGTTGCTCGTTTCAGAATCAGATCAAGTATAAGAGAATTTATTAAGTAGGATTGTGTAAGTGATGCCGGTTGGGTCACCGATGGTTGGTAGTCAATGCTCTAAGTGGGGAGAAATGGAAAACTCTTAGGAGGTTCGATAGCATGAGGGGTCAATTAGTTGTTTGAGTTTCGGCAGTGTTTCAGTCAGCCAAGAGCGTGGGCTGGTATGAGTAGATCAGACGAGTGGGGCGGGATACAGACCAAGGTTGGGCCTAGGGTTAGGCTGGGATTTGAGTATATAGAATGGAGTTTGAGTTCAGAACCCCGTGAGGGCTAGAACAGTATGTACGGGAGAGGTTCTCGGAAGAAATGGTTCAGGGTGACGTTAGACAAGCTTGAGCGGTCCGGACAGACTGAAGGCCGGAAGGCGTACCAATCAGATCGAAGGCTCGGGGAATGGTCCAGACGGGCTGAAGGCCCAGGAGGGCGGTCCAGATATGATGAAGGTTCCGAGACTGGTCCAGATAGACTGAAGGCCTGGTAAGGCGGTCCAGTCATGCTGAAGACTCTGTATGTGTTCGTGGATCGGTACGAGGAGAATGAGAAAAAAGCATCACCAGGGGATGATAAGTGATATGGTCTGGCCCCAAGCATTGATCATGTTAGTGGAAAGCGGTGCATGGACCCGAGAGTCCTTGTGAGTAGATTCAGAGTATGTGGAAGTTCGAGAATAGCAGTTGCTCTACACGGATAATGTAGAGTGAAGTGTAGCTCAGTGGCACGTGCAGGTGCAGTAAGGGTTGTTGAGTGGATTTTGCTTCTGAATACGTCCAATGCATCATTAAAACATGTGTGCTAATAATGCCAACATCTTAACTTACCATAATGAAAAACATGTATCTCGGTAGTAGCAGAAGGTTGCATTTTATTAATGTCGTTCTAGAATATCACCTTACGAGGTTGAGAAGAAATCAATTTGAAACCTTTTGTAGGTTAAGAGAAAATCGATGATGTATGTTTAGGTATATGAGAATTTTCACAAGACCTTTATAAGTTTAACTGATAATCAACAATAGCATGCTTCAAGGAAATTGATGGATACCTTTTTTAGGTTTCAACAACTCGATTTTGGTATATATATATATATATATATATATATATATATATATATATATATATATATATATATATATATATATATATATATATATATACTATCTTATAAAAGAAATCTAACTATTTCTAAAAATAGATTGATTATAATAATAATATTTTTTTAAGACGTCCAAATGATGAAGCTGATAGTACAAGTAATCATTAATAAAATAATATTAAATTTTAACCATATTTTGAATTCAAATATTTATCATCAAATCTCCTTATATTTCTCAACAATTTGATATGGTTCCCTCAAATCTCGGATTCATTCAAATTTTGAACCCTTTTAGATATCCTTAAATTTAGCATGTTGATTCAAATATCCCTCCAATCACATATACCTCTTTGCTCTCTCCTTTACTATAAAGTCCACCGTCCATGAACAAAAAATGACTTCATTTCCCAAATAACACCATAGTTTGATTATTTTGTCTTCAACATGTACTTTCTTTTGTAACATAATATTTTTGTAGAGGAAACATATCACTGAAAGAATTTACACGCCTCACCGCTTTGCGCGGGTACACTGCTAGTGTGTGTATATATATATATATATATATATATATATATATATATATATATATATATATAGGTTCAGGTTCATTTGAGACCATTCTAATTTTGTGAGACCGTGAGACCAAATCTAAAAATAATTTTAAAATGCAAAATAAATGGAAAAATCCAAAAATTCTTTTTTTAAATATTATTTTCGGAACTTGGATTAACTAAAAAAATATAAAATAAATAAAATAAAATAAATAAATTCCGTTTTTTTTTTTTTGAAAAATACGTGAAATATTCTAAATAGAATATTACACTAACATATTCTAAAAAATAATTTTAAAATGCAAAATAAATGGAAAAATCAAAAAATTCTTTTTTTAAATATTATTTTCGGAACATGAATTAACTAAAAAAATAAAAAATGCGTCTCACGGTCTCACAAAATATAGGTGGTCTCAAATGAACCTAACCCTATATATATATATATATATATATATATATATATATATATATATATATATATATATATATATATATATATATATATATATATATTTTTGCTATCTTATAAAAGAAATCTAACTATTTCTAAAAATAGATTGATTATAATAATAATATTTTTTTAAGACGTCCAAATGATGAAGCTGATAGTACAAGTAATCATTAATAAAATAATATTAAATTTTAACCATATTTTGAATTCAAATATTTATCATCAAATCTCCTTATATTTCTCAACAATTTGATATGGTTTCCTCAAATCTCGGATTCATTCAAATTTTGAACCCTTTTAGATATCCTTAAATTTAGCATGTTGATTCAAATATCCCTCCAATCGCATATACCTCTTTGCTCCCTCCTCTACTATAAAGTCCACCGTCCAGGAACAAAAAATGACTTCATTTCCCAAATAACACCATAGTTTGATTATTTTGTCTTCGACGTGTACTTTCTTTTGTAACATAACATTTTTGTAGAGGAAACATATCACTGAAAGAATTTACACGCCCCGCCGCTTTGCGCGGGTGCACTGCTAGTATATATATATATATATATATATATATATATATATATATATATATATATATATATATATATATATATATATATATATATATATATACCTTAAAAAGCATTTAACATGTTTTGTTGAATTTTAAAAGATACAAATAATAATGTTATGTGTACAATGAGTTTATGCATGAAATTAGATTTGGTCAACAAAAATATCGATCAAAAAATCAAAGAATCAGTATTCGTTCGATGTCGCACAATTAAATTGGTCAAAGGTCAATTGAAGCGGTCAATATGAGATAGATGCGCCCATAAGAACTCTACTACCCGATAGCCACTATCAACCACCACACTGCGATACCTCATATTCTGTTGAAAAAATTCACCTTAAACCCTAGATAACGCTGCCGTCTCCTTCACAAGGTACCCCTATTGCCTCAAACATTTTGAAAGTCTTCCAACCACTACCTTCGCCGTCACCATCACTTCAGCACTGGTAAATCAGGTTTGTTTCTTCCTTACAATCGTCTTCCTACTCTGCATAAAGATTTCAGTACATACAAAGGTTAGCCATATTTGACCACCATCGCCTTCATCGTCGTCAAATTATCCCGATCTAAGGTTTGCACCCACACTTAACTACAAGTTTTTGCATAAAGAAACACAATAGTAATCTTCTCCATTCCTTTTATATTCACCCCAAACACAATGGCCTTCATCACTATCATCATTTTCTTAGAAGGTAATCTAACCGATGCCTCACTTTACCATTAGTTATTTACTTTTTTATTTTGCCAGGTCATGAAATGATTTGTTTGGGTCATTGAAGAAGATGCTACTTCCCATTGCAAGGTTTTTTTTTCCAACTGATATGTGTTCATATGTAGCATTTATTAAAAGACATGTTGATTATATAGGGTTATATGTCTTTTAGTTGGTCAAGGGCTTAATAAAGAAGTGTGAATGTCTAATGTACAGAAAGTGGAAGAACGATGAAGTTGACTTAAAATTGTTTATTGTTGGAGGCATTTGGAACACCTTTGTAATTGGCAAACCTGTCCGAGACACCTACACTTAATTTCCTATAAATATGGTTTTTTTTTTAAGCATGCTGATCAATTTGATCTACAAATTTTGGTTTCAAATTACTTTACAAACTATTGGTTGATCAAACAGGGCTAATGGTCTTCAAGGTGGACAATTTGTCAAAGGAAAAAAAAAAAAAAATCATTCTCTATATAATGCAGTTTTTCTTTCTACATATTACTTTTGCAATGTGAATTGTATGTAAATTACATTGCGAGATATTTTTGTTATATGCCTACTAATTGTTGGCTAATATTCAGGTTTTCGTTTTGGTGGTGATTTTCTAAAACAAGCCTTTAATAAGGCTACAACAAACCTCTTCAATTGAGTTTTAAATTCAGAATGTTGATATATAGATTATACTGAAATACAATTCACATATTTTGTCATGATATACTGATTACACTCTCAAATATAATTTATATTTGGCATAATTTTTGAGGAAATTTTTTTCCAAACAATTTAAGGTGGAGAATTAAGAGAAGAAGAGAAGAAGACCAATAGATACTTTGTTCTTCCACCCATCCTGCCAATCAGGTAATGCATCACATTCTCTATTTCTCTTACTAATTATTCCATTATACTGACAATTTGCACATCCTTGTGCAAATATTTGTTGATCCTACATCGATTTGAATCCAAATTATGTTTCAAGGGCATGAATCTGAAAATTTCCAAGATAAACTGTGTACTTTGGGACTTCTTAATGAGCATTCTTCAAAGATATAACATATAAGTAGTCCTCATATACTTTCTATTGCATCCTTTTATTCTTCTGGTGTAATCAGTTAGTCATATTAAAAGAAAAGACAAATTTAGCCTTTGTATACCCAATGTATCATGTATGACTTCTATAGTTCATCATTCTTTGGTTAATTACCCATTGTCCCCTTTTATATAATCTATAATCCTAAATTCACATGGTAAGAGTTACTAATAAAAGCTAAAGATAAAGATGAGTTCTCCAAATAACCTTATGGTGTAAAACATGGAGATATAGCCTGTGTTGTTGGGTTTCCAAGTGTGATTTTTTTTTTTTTATTATATATTAGTTCTACTTTGTTTCGTATACTTTTTATTTATGCCAATAAAAAGTAAGAGAGTAAAAAACAACAGAGGAAAACATTGCATTTTTTCAAAAACATTCATAATGCATTCTCATTATCTTCATTTCATAGAGTTTTCTCTTATATGTAATTGATATATAATATTCATAATAGCCATCGTTATATGACTATTTTAAAATTTTAATTATTACTTTTAAAAAATATATATATTTATATCTTTTCATCTTTAAGTAATACGTAATAAAAAAAAAAAGGTTTAATTCTTTGTACTTTAAGAGGTACAATCTTATAAAAAGTGTTATTCATCAATTCATTTATTTATTAGTATCTTATAAAAAATAGTTATATAATTGTTTTAATAGTTGGTGTTTAGTCTTAGAAAAACTAATTGACATCTTTTGTAAATAAAACGACTTCAAATGAGTTTTTATTGTGATTCGTGGTATAATTTAGGTTTGGATTAAACATGGATTGTTTTATTTGTACGCCGTCATATTTACCACCGTTGCTTAAGGAACTCTTGTTGACCCAAAATGAAACAATCAATTTTTATATATTTATCATCGTTCCAACAAAATGAAAATGACAGTTGTTGAACGAAATTAACAATTTTTTATTAAATATAGTTGAAAACAATTACTTTTGATCTAAAACAATAAATATACTACTTTTTACTCGAACTAACAATTTAATTTCATTTTTAACAAAAACCAACAACATATTTTCACTTTTAACCTAAAATAGCAAAATAAATATCTGAATCTAGAACATAAACGAAACTTTTATATTTAATTTTAACCTTACACAAATTATATTTATAGCAGAAGCCAAAATAGTAGTGCAATTTCAATTTCAACCCAACACACTGTATTTTATTCTATTGTACTTTTATTTTAAGCCCACAATATCAACGTAATATTATTTTAACCTAAAATAAAACCCTACGTTTATTTTTAAGCCAAAAGTAACTATTTTCTAAAGAAAAATATATTTAGCCAAAAACAACAACATATTTGCATTGCATGTTCTTTTAGATTGAAATATGTTTATAAAAGAAAAAACTAATTATGGAAAAAAATAATTTTATGCTAAAGCGAAATAATGTTAATGAAAGGAAAACTAACTATGTAATGATGTCCGTTGCAAAATGTTTTCAAAATACAATATATTTTCGAAAGAAAACTAATCGTCGATATGAAAATAATTTCCAAATGAAACTATTTTTTGTCTGCCTAATGGAAACTAACTCTTTAAAGAATTTATTCATAGATATATCTAATCCTAAATGATATCTTCAAATGCATTACATGATAATCAATAATGCTCGGGGACAAACAATTATAAATATATGTATTTATCTTTCAGAATCGGTTTTCTTGTATGACCAACTTTAAGTGACACTATCCAAAATAATATCACGTGTCAATATAAAAGTATTGGTGAAACTAGACGAACAATTCAAAGGCAATAAAGTCTATACATTAAATGTGGTGTATAAAGAAGTGTTGCACGAATCATAATGTACAATCATTTATGTGTTCGTACATATTTATAAACAATTCGTACATATTTATAAACAATTCTAACTCTTCATTTTTCATTCTCACTGATTTCGTACTTGTTAGCATACTCGTATTGATTATTGTTTACAATCAATCATGTGTTGATGTACAATTGTAAAGAATCTCAACTTTTCATTTTTTTAATTTGTACCAATTTCATTTCCGCTAACATAACTCTTATTGATAAATATGTTGGTGATTTTAGTGTCACCATATCATTTTAAGTAACTAGAACTAACATTTGAGCTAAGGGGTTTCATGATTTGTACTCTAATACATGTACGGGTTTGTGCGGAGTGCACGCATGTATAAGATCGAGTCAGAAGCCGGTTCGACGACTAGTCGGGGGTTCGGGGGCAGCACCCCCGGGGTCCAGGGTTTCCAAAGGGGCAGCGCCCCTTTGGCGGGGTCTAGGGGCAGCGGCCCTAGCGGGGTCCAATGGGCAGAGCCCCTGGCTGGTAAAACTAACGAAATTCATTAGTTTTTGGTAACCCTAATCCGGATTAATATTACTTGCTTGCTAAGCAAGTAATGACGGCCCAACCCTAATGAAACCCTAATTGTGTTTAGTATATAAACAACTCTTCGTTTCCAGAAGAGACACGTTTTTAGCTCTCGTTTTTTATCACACATTCACAGAACCTTTTAGCATAATAGCTTACGTTTTATGTGCCTAGAAACGTAGGTGTCCGCTTCGATTATCCTAGGCTGAATTTCTTGTAACCCAGGCATAGGGTAGAAATATCAGTTCGGAAAGTGATATCACGATCCAAGCTCGTATCAAGATCTCCACCGCAAACCCTAATATTCCTAACAAAATATTTAGATGTAACAAAATATTAAAACTAATCGCATTTACTTAACGCGGGTAAACGGCTAGTATATATATATATATATATATATATATATATATATATATATATATATATATATATATATATATATATATATATATATATATATATATATATATATATATATCAAACAAGAAGACACACAAAGAGATGTAATATAAGAGCAAATAGAACACCACGATTCAAAAAAAATGGTGGAAACCCTTGTTGGATAAAACCACAAGGCATTCCACTTGTATTTTTAAATGGATAAATGAACGAAGAGATAAGGAGTAGAATTTTTATTGGAGAAGGGGGTGGAGGAGGATTTTGATTAATTAGAATGATTAAAATAACTTATATTTATAGGATAATTTGATATATGTTCCTTTTAAATCTCAAAATATCATATTTATCCAGTTTAATTTCTTAATATCATATTTATCTTTCATAAACCTTTAAAATATCATATTTGCCCAAATCCTTTTTTATAATGTTTTTAATATTTTACAATCATTTTTTTATAACTTAAAATTACTATAATAATTAAAAATTTTAACGATATTATCCTTACATCTATGATAATGGAATGTGAACTTCTAAATTGTTGGAATGTCGTTCTCTTGACAAACAAAAATATTCATCTTCAACCCTCTTTGTAGAATGTATATTTTGATTGTTTATTTATTTATTTATTTATTTGTTGATTATGTTGTAGATGAAAGATATTTTAGATATTATCATTGATATTTTGATGTTTAAAAAATACATATACGATATTTTGATATTTAAAGACATATATGATATTTTGATGTTTAAAAATGATATATATGATATTTTGAAATTTTATGAATGGTAAATATGATATTTAAAAATTTTATGTAAAGCAAATATGATATTTAGAAATTAAGTTGGATAAATATGATATTTTAATGTTTAAGAATGACATATATGAAATTCTTCCTATATTTATAAGCTAAGAAACTAGAATACTAAAACTATTGCAAACTTTTAACTACCAAACAACAGTTTCCTAATCCTAAAGACTTGAAAACCAAGCAACATACTTAATAACTTTCAAAGATGGAGAATTTGGCTCACACGTCAACATATGGTATGATATCTATTTGACACACATAATGATATATTTTTGTTGTGACAATTGCTTTATCTCTACATCCGGTACACATATAAACATACGGACTAAAACATAGCCAATCTTGAAGTCACTTGCTCCTATGATATTTTGATAAGGAATGACGTGTTCGACAATGAGTTTTTGAGAATTTTTAGAAAAAAGTCAGACCAAAAATTAACTTTGTTCAAGAGTACAAGCTCAAAGTTTTTAATTAAAACAAAAAACTATTATTCCAAAAGATATTAAATAGGTTAAAAATAAGATCCACATGAATTATAACAAATTTACTAGATTACCCTTATGCTTCAGTTTTAGCTTTTATACATGTCTTTTATGTAATTTACACATTTCAAAATTTTTCCATTAAACACTCATATAAAAATAAAAGGCCAATTAGAACAGCTGGGTTTGTATTTTCTGTCAAAATTAAGCTGAGTGTAACGTTTTACACAATGATAACGGTAATTGAAACACATCTCACATTTAAAACGTTTTTTTTACAATTTTATCATAAAGTTTAAACATATGCTTCCAACATCATGATCTAAGATGTCCCCCCTCACATGTTTAATTGTTTATAAGTATATCAAAAAAAATTTGAACAAAAATACCAAATGTAATGATAGAAATATTCCGAACATCCAAGAAAAAAAAACTCACAAAATAAACCCTAAAAGTGTTCTGCAGCATACCCAAATATAGGCCTACTACGGTCTACTCCATCTTTTCTTTATAAAAAACCCAAACAACTTTTTTGAAAGAAAGGCAGTGACTACAAAAAAAAAAAAAAAAAAAAAAAAAAAATCATTTTTACATGAAAAGAATGCTATCACTTCAATGCTTTTTTTTTCAAATCCTTTTGATATAACGAATTGTAATTGATGTAGAATGAAAGACAAAAAAAAGCATCCAAATTAGCAAGTAAAATACCAAAGAAAAACTCATAACAATTATGGAAATTTTGAATTCAACAACCCAAATGATGGATTTGGGGATCAGAAGTTGGTTTCATACTTTAATTACTTTTTGGAGTAAATTACATTCTTATCCCGATTTGACTTTTTCAAATTTGGTCCCCCAAAAAAAAATCTTTCACAAATTTAGCTTTAATCAATATATTTTTTTAAAAACAATTAGCTATACACTAAATAAAATATTTTACTTGGAATACAACATGAGAACCTCGAGCGAAACAAAACCTCAAGCAAAAATGAAAATTACTATAAAAAACTTTTGGGAACCAAAATTACAAAAATCACA